TAATCATAGGAATCGTAATAATTAATCATTGTTACAAACAAATCAATAATTTCGATTAACTTTTGTAATTTGTAATCGTTAATCAATGATCTTTAAATCGTTAAGTGAAGTTAATTTATATTTTATTACAATCTGTATTATTTTCTTTACATTTCCACAATAACATTCCCATAAATGTGTTAGTCACTTAGGATTTGCTGTTCAATATAATTAAATAATAATAATATAATTAATATAATTAATAATATAATAATATAATAATAATATAATTAAATGTCATTGTAATAATATGAATTTACTTATAGAATTCTTTGCTGCATAATAGTACCTGTACTGTTGAATTTATAATAATTTGTCAAAGCTTATAATTTCCCGATATACTTTTGATATGAGAATCAACGTATTCATAATCGAAGAATCTCAAAATTTCAATCACTTGTTGTTTAAGTTTATATCATCAAAGTCCATCTTCATGGAGATTCGTTCAAGTCGAAAGGAGAAGCACTTAATAGCGCAGTATATTAGTCGTATATATCTTATAAACCAACGCACTATGCACGAAGAACAGATTTGTAGTATTTATAGTTGATTAATGTCCAATTATTCCAGAGATTGAAATAATGATATCGGTTTCGATTCGATTATAGATTCGATCTATTATAGGCAATTTCTTATCAAAATTTTACTTATATGGCTACGGTTTCGATTCTTCAAAATCTCGATATTATATCTATAATCTTTGCTTGTTTAATTCTGTTGTAATTCGATTCTAGATCTGAATCTCTCACAGAATATGTCGATTGTCAGCTTCTATTTTGTGGTGGCGAGCGAGAGAATCACCGGTATAAGAGAACCGGTAATAATAATATGAAACGAAGAACTAGAACTGTATAAACTGAAACTAAATTTCTTTTCAAGTGAAAAATTTTTTCATGCCTCTTTTCAGATTTTTATTAATAAACGATTAAGATGAAAAAATGTTTTATACAGAAGCTTGTCCTTTTCAATCACAGAATAAGAATCTGTAAAGGAAAGTATATATCTTCCCATTTGAAAAAGGAAAGTCGATATTCAAATACATGGAAATGCCTGACACATAAAAAGCAAGTTGTATGCCTCCCTCGGAACTGTGAAACTTTTGTATTATAAAAATAAATTTCACGAAAAAGTGTTGCCTTCGAGACTGGAAATCTTCAAATAAACTATATATATAAGTTTTGACATTTTAATATCCTTCATAACAAACCCACGCAACACGATTTTGCAGCATGGTATCAAGTCTTGTCAATCGAGTTATCAGGTCGAACTATCATTTCCTGCAACTTCTTGATTTCACATTAACTTTGTCCGCACCTTTTTATTTCAAAAGATAATTTCATTCTTAATTTTTCTCTGTGTGAAGTATTTGTGAAGAAATTATGTGAGATCAGCGATTCCGATGTAGGACCGAAAATCACGATAATGAGTGACAGTAGTATGACATATAATATTACTGACTATAGCTTACAGTCTTTTGTACGCATAATTCTAATGATTAAAAATGGGGAATCGCTCGAACAGGCTGTGTTAAATGAAAACTAAATCTATAATTTCTATAATTTCGCACGAGATTCTTTCGAGTACTATAGCTCGGTAATTTTATACGAAGTTCATCTGTACTTTCTTCGATCGTTAAACAGCACTTTGGCCTTTGCCTCAGGTTCATTTATGCTTGAACTTCCCAGTAACTTCACTTTGCATCGAGTTCGTTGTTATATATTCCATAAAATATCTTACACGGCAGGCATCTTATATTCGAAACTCGAATATTTTAAATATCGATTGTGATATTTCTATTAAAATAAATGAATGATGATTTGTATTTATTTGTATATTTTTATCAGGCTGCGGATTAATAAAAGCGCTAGCATACATTTTTTTTTATGAATAACATTATGCATAAATTTAGATTCATTGCTACTTGATTTTATCAGGATAGATAAATTTCTTGCTGTATGAAATCTCAGTTATCAATATACGATTCTTTTATCCCAAATTTTTATATTACAGTCTTACTATCTTCCAATGTTATAATTATTGAAATTTTAATGTTAATTGTTTAACGTTAAATTACAGTAAGAGAAAACGATATAATGAGATTGTAACACCAATTGCCTGGTATTTATAACTTTGATCTCTTTAAATTAATTTCTATCATTGTTAGCAATTCAACGATGAATCATAAAAACGGGACATACTATAAGAATTAAAATTATACTAGAATAAAAGTTAGACTTAAAATTATACTAGAATAAAAGTTAAAAGTGAGACATGTGAGAGGATATTCCACGCAATTATTTCCTAAATTATTCATTGTAGAAAAAAATGTATTCAAATACTTTGTTTGTTACTTCGTTTCGATGACGGCATTTTGTCTTATCTTATGGTGGTCGCAAATTTTTCTGAAATTTCAAAGTAACTTTCTTCCTTTAAATGGAGCTTTATATTCGACATGCAGCCCATTCCATGACGAATTCATCGATCTATCATATGTCAAAAACTCTGAAACATACGGAGAGGATACAACTATCATTCCAGAGATAGAGTGAATCAACGTATGCTCGAGGTCACCATTCCGAAAGATAAGATAATAATTTTTTAGCATGTTTAACGCAGATAACTTTTACAAACAACCTTGAATAGCACTGAGAAACCTATATAGATCGTGGATGTAGATCATGGAATGAAAAAAAGAAAAGTCACTTTCAAATCTCGGAAGTACGTTCACCTAAACCAAGACTTGTGATCATCATAAAATATCCCCCTCACGAACAAAGTATACTATAATTGTAAATATAATTAAACAATTGTATGGGATATTTCGACTTTTCCATAAAGAGACAATTCATAGAAAGCTGATTTGAATTGATCTTACAGAATTTTGAATGGTGTTTCGAGATTGTGAACAGCATGAAAGACTGATAAAAAATATTTTACCATTATAAATACGATTATAAATGTGCTAATAAATACATTTTTCTGAGAAAAAGTCAAGAAGAATTACTGCGAGGACAAATTTGATCATCCTCTAAGATGACATAACAGATCAATCTGGCGAAATTAGGAAACTGCAGGAGGTTAAAACATTGTGAATGCACTAAATGTACTAAATCGACAAGTTTTTAGGAAATTGGTAAAGATAGCTATCTGAAATAGGGGATTCCTCGCCAATTTTAATACATCATTCTGAAGAGCTTTTCTCCATACATGTTGCTACCAGACATTTATAAAAATACAGTGAAGAGCATAATTGAAACGATAACTTTACTGTTACAACTTTATAAAAAAAGAAAATTATACAGAGTAATTCAAACTATCACTTTGTGAAAAAAGGGTCACGCATTTGGTGCCATTTTAAAGCGTGAATTCGCCAGATCTCTATTTTAATAACTGATGAGTGAGTTTGTTTCTTTCGAAGATGATTTTACATCGTGTGGCTGGTGAGGAAGTAGGGATACCTCTTTTCTCAAAAATTGTAAAAACAAATAAATAAATTTTTTTCGTAACTAGATCTACTTTCATTTTAAAAAACTGAAACCTCCCCTTTACAATGATTCTTTAAGACTTGTGATACGATTTTTTTCCAACATTTTATTGAACGTTGAATATTAAGACAAAATTCAAGAAATTCTAATATTTCATCATCTAACTTTAACGTTCTAAGTTCAATAAAATGGTTAAAAAAGAACCATACAATGAATTTTGAGGTTTCGTTATAAAGAAAAAGTTTGAATCTTTAAGATCATACTAGATTTAGTCTTCAATATTTCTACACACGTTTGAAGTTTTACAGTTTTCGAGGGAAAAAGTATGTTGCATGCTGTAAAATCATCTTTGAAAAGAAAAAACAAACAAATATACTACTAGTACAAATATACTCTGTATAATAATCTACTTGATCTCATTTTAAAGCATAGAAACAGTGCTAAATTTCTTTCTTTTTTTTTTTTAAATGATTTCACGTCATGTAATAAGAAAATGTGGGTATTTTTTTCGAAAAATTCAAGAAATCCTAACACTTTTCAATTCTAATCTTCAATAAAATGATGAAAAAAAATTGTAAAAAGAAAAGTTCTGTCTCCACGACTGAATATACTGAATCTAGACATAAAAGAATATATTTTATTGTTTGAATAGAGACGTTTGCATTTTTACAATTTTCAAACAAAAAATATTTTTCCATCCGCTACACATGATGCAAATCATTTTTGGAAAAACTAT